TTCCCCTACTTTGATCTGTCGTTATGCGTTTTATCACAAAAGACGTGTGTTAGAGGGATCGTCAAGAGAATCAGCTCAGGTATGTTAAGGCTATCCCTTCTTTCTTTTGGCATGATCTATACGACAGAAACGAAACGAGCAAATGGACAATTTCCATAAATGACTCTATTCATAGAAATACTAGAGATGCTTATGTTCTTAATTCCCTATGTGTAATATTATTCTATTATCTGTTCATGAGTCTCAGAAAATACGTAAGTTGATAAAGTTTATTTCATGATATTAATCAAAAGCATAATGGTCTTATGACACTCCGAAAGCTTTTATTGACATACTTCTCATGCATTGCATTCATTTACATTGACCCATGTCCAGATGGCGTTATATATGCGTATATATATATATGGGGTATGGGAAAAGTTTACAATGTTATATACGCACCACCATTTGATCAGCTGGTATACGTTGATGATTTGCCCATAGTGGCCGAGATGATATGATGGAATGCCCTCAGAGGCTTGATGATGTTATGAACGCATATACCCATGCATGATATGACATTTATACGCATATGCATGACAATATAATATTAAATAATTCACATGGATATTCAAATATACATGTTGAGTCTTTTACTCCATGTTTCTCTAATGTCTATTGTTTACTGATTTTCATTCCTTACATACTCGGTACATTATTTGTACTGACATCCCTTTTGCCTGGGGATACTGCGTTTCATGCTCGCAGGTCCCGATAGACAGGTCGAGAGTCCTCTAAGTTGGCTATCAGCTCAGCGGAAGATGTTGGTGCGCTCTATTTGGAGTTGCTTATTTGGTCAGTATAATTAGGACATGTATTGATTGGTATGGCGAGGCTCAGTCCCGACCTTTATGATACTTATGTACTCTTAGAGGCTTGTAGACAGATGTCATGTATATGAATACTTGTATGGCCTTGTCGGCCTATGTTTTGAGTTTACAAATGATCATGTTGGCCTTATAGGCCCGTATGTCCATGTATAAGTTTTTATATCAGGTTGGGTCGTCCTATATGGAGTACTCCCCCATGTTCATTCTGGTTAGCCCATGATGACCCGTTTGGCCCATTTTCCAATGAAAGTACGATAAGAATAATATGCTATATTGGTACTCGGTTCAATAAGGTATCGGGTGCCCGTCGCGGCCCATAGGTTTGGGTCGTGACACTTATGGACTCGACTCATCTTATATTTTCCATTGTTACGCTCTCCACTTTAAAAATGTTTCAAGTATTTTAAGCTTTCATGTACTTATGTGTTTGTAGCTATGACTTTTCAATGTTTTTAATATATTTTTATGACTTTCAATGACACATAGCATGTGAATGAAATGAAAGAGACTATGATATGTGGCTATTTGTGCCAAGCAGGTAGATTATGATGTATGTCCAAAAATGTCAATGAAACAAAGGTTTTATTAAATGCTATACATAAATATTTTTGGGAGATTTGTTATGTAACCGAGAAGGTATAGGTCGCAAGGGCCTTTACCCGAAACTACATGTGCCGGTATAGGAAGACGAATAGGAAATGAGTCCATTCGCATTATGATGATATTATACCCTTAATTGGAATAAATGTGTTGTTAGCAAATTTATGTCAATCCACACGGTATTGTGATGAGATGACTAAGCTGATTCGGCCGAGATCGGACCACATGCCGTGCACATGGTAGTTATGCGTTTCTATATAGGTAACTAATGATATCTCAACTAAAATAACAATGTTTATTTGAAATTTTTACTCATGTTACACTCTTTTCTTATGTTATGGCATGTCATTTCTTATTTCTATTGATTTACTCATTTTTTTTCATATATATTTTCTTATGTTGACATCACATTTCATGTGAGGGGATTTAGCTTTACATACTAGTACTGTTCTATATGTACTAACGTTCATTTTTGTTGGGGACGTTGTATCTTTAATGGATGTAGGTAGTACATCACCAGACGAGACCGATTCTCGATGTCGTGCCCTCACTCTTCATCGCATTTTGATGAGCCCTATTTTACACTCGAGGCCCTCATATTGTTCCTTAATATTTGTATATTATTTTAGGTATAGCGGGGCCTTGTTACCGACACTTGCTTACTTTACTCATGACAGTTTAGAGGCTTTATAGTTAAACTATAGGTCACGTTATGTATGGGAGAATTAAAAATATTATTTTGTCATTTTGCTTCCACGTAAAACTATTGACTTATAACGTTTTTCCAACTATAATGAGTTCCTTAAGAAATAGAAATCAGTGTTGTATATTTCTATATCCTTGGTAGACTATTGCGTAATATTTCTACTTGAATCGTACTTGAGCAAGGGTAGATAGTAGGAACTATATGGGCTTGTTTGACTAGGTTACCTCGGTTGAGCACCAGTTCCGTTATCCAAGGTTGGGCACATAGTCTCTTTTACCGTGCAAAACATTACTTCTACACGTCGTTGGATCACTTTAAAGTCTTAGATCCTTACAAAATTTTACGGACGAAGCAGCGATGAACTTCAACGAACAACGGCAAATAGGCAGAACTTCGTCGACGACGAATGAGGGTTGGGATGGGAACAACATTGGCTAGGATTTGTGGAAAGAAAAGACAGGAAGAAGAGAAGAAAGGAAGAACTCCAAAATCCCTAATTTTGTGGATTTGTCGGGGGTTATATATATTTTGTATAAAATTTATTGCTATGTTTTGAAATTGAAGTAATATTACTCCTTCAGTCCTAATTATGTAGCACTTTTCGGTTTATCGAGAGTCCATTTGACTAATCGTTAAAGCTGATTCGGATTAGATTAACTCAATATTTTAAATATAAAATTGAGAAACTGAAAAATTATATGAAATGTCCTATGAGTTACAATTTTTCTCAAGTTAATATAATGAAAAAATATATCTTAAAATACTGGTCAAAACTTATATAATTTGAATCTTGTGAAGCGAAAAGTACCACATAAATTGAGACAGGGAGAGTATAAGTAGAGGCGGAGCCAGAATTTGAAACTTATGAGTTCGAAATTCTAGTTCTTTTAAGTTACTAAGTTCTAAATTAATAATTTGTACATATTCAATGAATTTTTAAGATGAATATAGGGTTCGAATCGAAACTACTGGATTTACTCAAACCCACAATTGTAAAGCTAGCTCCGCCCCTCAATATAAGTTATTGTAAATATGAGTTTTATTTCATATATTTCTTTATATCTCCCAGCGAATTGACTGGGATTGGGCTACAAAGCCTCAATGTTGAATAGGTTGAGAAATCTTAGTTCAACCTCATCCAACTAGTGAGTGAGATTGGACGAGTCTCATGAGTCAAATTAACTTTGATGATAGCTTATTTCACTTTGCGGCCAATGTCTATATATTGACATATACATAGTTTTTTAAGGAGGAACTATTGCTAACCTGCCAAACCAGGGAAATTTTGTTGTATTTTTCCATTAAAGGCTTCAGAAAAAGAAAATTTGGTATTTTGGTCGATCATGTAAAAATTGGTGGTTGCGTTATTCCAGTCTCCACATTCAATGAATTATATTCCAGAGTAGTATTAAACAAATCATTTATCTTACAGAAAGAACAGAAAAGGACAAAAAAAAAATGTACTCCATCCCACACAGAATCTATTTCTTTTTTAGTCCGTGCAAAAAAGATTGATCTATTTTTTTATTTGAAAATAATTTAACTTTATGCAGTACTTTCTAACCACACAAAATATATGTACCTTAATTTACACCACAAATTCAAAAAAATTCTCTCTTTTTTTAAATTTCGTACCAATTAAATAAGTTCAAGAAAAAGAATACATGAGAAAGCACCAAGAATGAAAGAGTACAGAAAGAAAACGCGCAAAAAACACAGAGGCAAAGCTTAAAAAAGAATCGGCGTGGCTTAGACTGCAATTCAAGCGCCTAAGCCATTCACACACCAATTGATAGTGCCAATTGCCGTGTGGTCCCCTTTTACAGCCTGTTCCACCCCAAAATAATAAAAATAAAAAAAGGAAAAGGGAAAATCCCTAACCCTCACCTTTGCCGTAGAGCGAACCAAAAACTTGTCAAAACACAAATTAGAGCCCCCTAAAATGAAGTCAGCTCTCAATTGGGCTTTCTTTTGTTCTTTTCCATTTCTCCACCTGTCCCTCCTTCTAACCTTTTTAATCTTTAAGCACACTATCCCATTTTTTTGCCTTTTTGCTCTTTTTTTTCTTACTAAATAATACTTTAGTTAGTGATTCAACAAAGTTACCAATTATTAGAGCTAGAATGAAAACTTGAAGCCTAATCAATTTATCCCTTGTTCATAAATACATCTGCAAAATTTTGGAATTCTTTTAAGCTCTTATGTGATTCTTAATATAACATTGATTTCAATTTGGAACAAAATTTGTTCTTGAGGACCTCCATTACTTTAAAATTTCTTTAACATTCGGAGAAGTAAAAATTCACACACACTTTCCCGCAAAAACCTTAATATTTTAGTTCTTCAAAAAAGCGTTCTCCCCCACCCCTTGCCCACGTGAAAGGCTATAAGGTAATATTTCATCAAACACAACCACATATTTGTAACAGTATCGTTTATTTGATGTTAAGCTTTTTTGATTCACTATTCTCTTTTATCCACATTATTACCAACCTCGCGGTGAAACTCAATGCCAAGAGTTAAGCAGCTACATAAATTTAGTGTTGCTCCATTATCACGGAAAAGTTAATCTAGGACCATAAATGTTCAAACTTAAAGCTCACTACTTTAATTAGACTTCATTGTCCACATTTCACTAGTTTTCTCTGGGTAACAACTTTAATCCAAAGTTTCCCAATTCCAAATGCCAAAAAGAAAAAAAAGTTTAAGTAGTTTAATAAGTTTTCACTTGAAGCCAAAGTCTCCAATTCCAAATGTACAATAGTGATAGAACACTAATAACAAAAACTATTTAAAGAAAGTAACCCTTGACCCTCCATTACCTCTATACTTTAATATTCCACCAAACAATGACAACTATTGAGCCCACCCCCTACCCCCTACCCTCCACATTGCCCCTCTTTACTACCAAAGCCAAAGCCACCCACAAACTCACTCCATCCCCCACACAACAAACATTGTGTTAAGACCGACAATTCTCCACTAGCTAACACCATATAGAAAAGAAGAAGAAAAAAAGAGAGAAAGAAGAGCAAAACACAAAGCACATTCAAGAAAACTGAAGAAGTTTCAGCTTCAGTTTTAGTCTTGTTCAAGTGCCATGGATTCCAAGATCTATGGCTTCTTGTTTACTTTGATTCTCTTCTTCTCCATTACAGGTGCTGCATTGCAAGAAAACCCATCTGCCAAACATCAAATGTCAGCTCCTCAGATCAACTCAAACTCAGTTCTTGTAGCCCTTTTGGATTCCCACTACACTGAACTCTCTGAGCTAGTAGAAAAAGCCCTCTTGCTTCAAACCTTAGAAGAAGCCGTCACTACACACAACATCACCATTTTCGCACCCAAAAACGAAGCTCTTGAACGCGATTTAGATCCCGAGTTCAAACGTTTCTTGCTTGAACCCGGGAATCTCAAATCCCTTCAAAAGCTTCTCCTCTTTCACATGATCCCCACTCGCATTCAGTCCCTCCATTGGCCTAAAACAGAGCTCAAACCCCGCCATCACTCCACTCTCTGCCCCGGAGACGAACATATCTCAGTTTTACGAAAAAATGGAGATAGAATGGTAAGCATGGCGAAAGTTATTCGCGCAGATGATATTATCAAACCGGACGGAATCATCCACGGGATAGAACGCGTCTTAATACCCAAATCAGTGCAACAAGATTTCAACACGAGAAGAAGCCTCCGTTCAATTTCAGCTGTATTACCAGAAGGAGCACCAGAAGTAGACCCAAGAACAAACAGGTTGAAGAAAAAGCCAACAATCCCAGTGCCCGCTGGAGAACCACCAGTATTACCCATTTACTCCGCCATGGCACCAGGTCCATCACTAGCTCCAGCACCAGCTCCAGGACCAGGTGGGCCCCACCACCACTTCGACGGTGAAAGTCAAGTAAAAGATTTCATTCAAACTCTATTGCATTACGGTGGTTACAATGAATTAGCAGACATTCTTGTAAATCTCACTTCCTTAGCTACCGAAATGGGGAGATTAGTGTCCGAAGGGTACGTTTTAACTGTTTTAGCACCTAACGATGAAGCGATGGCGAAATTAACGACGGATCAGCTGTCGGAACCGGGTGCGCCGGAGCAGATAATGTATTATCATTTGATACCGGAGTATCAAACGGAGGAAAGTATGTATAATGCCGTGAGGAGATTTGGAAAAGTGAAGTATGATACTTTAAGATTGCCACATAAAATTGTTGCTGAAGAAGCTGACGGTTCTGTGAAATTTGGGGTTGCTGAAGGGTCGGCGTATTTGTTCGACCCGGATATTTACACGGACGGCAGGATTTCCGTTCAGGGGATTGACGGAGTTTTGTTTCCGGTTGAGGAAATTAAGGCTGCTCCTGTAGTAGCCCCTGTTGCTAAAGTTGTTGCCAAGCCAAGAAGAGGTAATTAATTTCTCATTTTCTAATCCATTTTAATTTTGTCATATTTTATTTTTTTGGGAGTTTTGTTTTTTAATTACTACTTGAATTAGTATTCATTTGATTGGGTAGGTAAATTTGTTTCTAATTATGCAAGAACATTGACAATAGAGCTGAGAGGTGTTTTTGAGTGTATTTATGATGCTACTAGATTCTTAAAACTGGGTGAAAATAGGGGATTAAGTTAGTCGGTTCTTTGTTTTAATTTAAATTATGAAAGCAATTTATTGATTAGGTATTATCAAATTCTCCACAAAAAATTGAAACATCAACTGATGGGTATTTTTTAATGTGTTAATGGACTTGTGATTCTTGAAATTGGATGAAAATAAGGTTAAACTTGGTAAAAGTATTTTTAAAGGGTTTATTTTGATGTAAAAATTTGGTTCTTTTCTTAGAAGTGATTGTGATTTAGAACATAAATTGGTGGTGGGTAGAATGGGAATCATGGAATTATGGCTTTTTGTGATGACAGTTGTTGCCAACCTTTTTCTGATGAATAGTTGCACTTCGTATCTACGCTATGTTGTATCCAACTTTTGGAAATGGATTGAAGAATACAAATTGACAATTCATCTTTGCCCACATAATAGATTTCTTTATAATAAAGTGGTAGACTTCTTTGTTTGCTTTGCATTTTTTTTAATTTTTTTTTGTTGTACAAATTAGGCAGTATCCGTGAGTTAAGAGTTCATTGTCATCATTTTCGCTGATTGTTACTTTTGGGCTAATTTCTTTTATTATAAGCCACAAATAGTTAGGTAATAGGCTTGCACGTTTTTTGGAAAGTGACAAATTGTTTAAGTAATTAGTAGGTAAGAAATTTTGTCGGTGAGCCATAAGGAGAGAAAGAATAGTTCTTTGCTTGACGAATATATATCCTAAAACCATTTGATGGAGTTGGTTTGGGTCAGGTACCTTTAGCAGTTGAATTATGAAAGAGGAAAATAGTGTGAGAAGGTGAAGGGGAAATTTAGGCTTGGTCACGCCTAAATAATAAAAGGTTACGGTTGTGGCAAACAGTTAATCACCAAGCCAAGTTTTTGGACCTTAATCATCAAGCCAATTAGTATCATTTTTTAATAAGTTTTAAAATCTCTGAGGGCCAGCCGGCAAACAGCTTGTCCTTCTATTTTTTTGCCACTAAAATACCATAAATTTTACTTGCTGTAGGGTTTAAACTCGTGAGGTACATCTAATTCACACGCTGTTTTTACTGCTTTTACTACTCAACCAACGCCCTGGGGCAATAAGCCAACTGTAGTGTCAATGTGTTATGTCGTGGGCATTATGTTGGAGTTCCATGGCATTACAGCTGTGTCTGTATGCACAGATTGTTCCAACTTGGTATGTTGAGTCCAGAGAGACCAGCGTATCTGTTTGACTAATTTCATGCCCCCACCTGCTCTATATTTCACTTCCATTATAAGCTGTCATGATTTGTCATTTCATTATATCTTTTTCTCTAAATTCATATGCATGGTTGACATTATTTTCATTCCATATATTTCTCAACTACTTTTATATATTTTATTTTTATGTATCAATTTCATTTTCTCATATGCGTTGGCTAAAATTGTGTTTGATTTGCAGGAAAGTTGATGGAAGTAGCATGTAGTGTGCTGGGGTCATTCTGTTAAAACCTTCACATTGAGGGACAGCTGAAGATAAAGAATTGAAAGAGAAGAATTGTGATTCAGTTAGTCTACTAGAATTGGAGGAAGAGAAACGAATAAAAGCTCACAAAAAAGAAAAAACGATTCTGAATAAATGGCAGTTTTTCTAGGAGGGCCTTGTTGATGATTACAAAAATATTAGGGAAGGAGGAAAGGAGAAATGCTTGCAATGAAGTAAAATTCCAGAAAATCCATCTCCCACCACCTCCTTCCGAACCCCAAGGAAGAGAAGGGAAATATATTTTTTTTCTTTTTGTTATAAATACTGTAAATTACATATCAATTTTTTATTTGTATTTAAGTTTGTTCCTACCGACACTTTGTATGCAGAAATATACCCAAGGATAAAAAGAAAAAAACTCCGCAGGAACATCGTCTTTTTGTTCTTTTAAAGTCACGGGGTTGTGTGCCTTATTATTTTGTTTTCACAATTTCACCGCTGTGATACCTTAGCTTGTGAGTATCATGACAAACTTTTTGCCATTCTTTTATTATTTTATTTAATGTGATTTGTATTTTAGTACATGGAATTGAACCCCGTTATTGCCCTTTTTCACAAGCAATATAGTAAAAGGCCTTGAGTGGTGACGGTGGGGATTGGTGAAATTGGTGGTTGGATGTACTATATTTATTTTTTCTTTCTTTTTGGGTAAAGACAACAAAAAGTTTGATGACCATGTTATTTCATGGAAGGTGCTCAGTGCTCACAAACCCCACTCTATCTGGCATTTGCCTTAGAACCCCTAAGCTGTGGAAAATTGTCTCGAGCTCCTTGTACTCTTGATTAATTGGAAGAGCATATGGCCCTTTGAGCAAGTTAAGGAATGGGCAATCGGTCTATGATAAATTAGTTGGACCAGTTAATTTCGAATATCAGATGGTTAAATAAAAAAAATTCATGATATCATAGAGAAAGTATGTGTATTAACACAATTTTATGCTTATTAAGCAACAAAAATCATTGTTAGAGAAGGTCACAAATGTTTGGTAATTCTTTCCAAAGCTAAAAATTGGAGTAAATTTCATGGGTGGTCATTCAACTTTGTGTTCAACAAAAACAAATTATCTTCTTTTTGTTAAGTAAAAGTCATTCAACTTTGTGTTCATTAACCAAAAGTCACTTTTCTTTCTTTTGTTACACAAATTATTTTACTTTGCTCTATTTATCCCAAAAGTCACCTTGCCCAAATTTTATAATACTTTTGCTTGAAAAGTCTATTATGTCCTTGACATTAATCCTCTCATTTATGTAATAACTTCTATATTATATATTATATAATATATTTTTACCTAGGTATTTTAATTATAATTAAAATAAATTTAAATTATTCTTTTTTTAATTTTTATAATATATTCATACATTTAATTTTTTCATGGAACTCAATTTGTGTAATCATATTCAAACATGAACATATTTTAAATATAAAAAATGACAAAAAAAAAATTATTTTTTAATACTTATTTAAAATAATAAAAATAGATTTATTTAACAAATGATAGTTTTTTATAGTCAATAAAAATTTGAAAAAAAAGTTTCAAAGATATTTGTGTTTAATATTAAAAGTTTTAAAGCTTTATCTGTTAATATTATTAAAAGTATTAATCTAATGCGTCATTTTACTAGATGTGGGTATTTTATTTATTAAATTAATGGGTATGGCTTGGCTGATAAATCAATGAGCTTTGATTTTTTAATTTTTATTAAACATATTTCATTAAGCATGATTAAGAACGTGGACTTGAGATTTGCTCACGGTAATGCTACTGACAAATTTAATAATGCTACTTATATATCTTGAAAATTAATATTAAGAAAAAATTAAATGTACGAATATATTACATAATGGGAGGATTTATAATGTCAAGGGTATAATAGACTTTACAGGTGAAAGGTTTGTAAAATCTGGTCAAAGTGATTATTGTGATAATTAGAGCATAGTAAAATAATTTTTGTGTAACAAAAGAAAGAAAAGTGACTTATGGTTAACAAACACAAATTTGAATGACTTTTAAGTAACAAAAAAAAAGAAAAGTAACTTTTGATTAATGAATACAAAGTTGAATGATCACCCATGAAATTTACTCCTAAAAATTGACAATTCATTTTTGTTCTTAATATCAAAGACAAATTCTTCCCAAAAGTAAAAATCTACAAGTCTTAGTGTCATTATGAGTCAATATCCATCAAATAAGATATCGTATCCTTAGTTTATTTCGAGTGTCTTCTATGTTAAATTATCTCACAAAGTTACAAAACATATATTCGCATAAAAAAGCACACCCACCATCCATCATCTTACATTATGAATTATATGCTTGTGCATAGTCTAGTTTGGTTTGAACATGTTAATATACTTGCTTTCTTATGTACTTAAGAGTAGGATCTAGTAATTGAAAAAGATCGAATAAGACGAGGGAGATCGAGATTTAAATCTCGACAAAGTAAGCAAGTCAAGTGGATTCTATTCATCTCCCAAACTTTTGGTAAATAGAGTTGCCTAGTATTTGTACCGGCAAAAAATTACAAGTAATTAATGAAATAATTGAAATACTTGTAAGTTAGCTCGGTCAAATGATGAGAGGTTTATTAGCAAAGTATTGGGAACTTGTGCAATTTATCAACAATTAGGAATATATAATTATATATCCTTCACAAAAGAAAGGAGGAGGAAGGAGGACAAATATCAATTATTGGAATACAATAAGGTAAAAGAAAATCTTTTCCTTTCTTCCTTTTATAGTACTATAAATTAAATAGTGGTTGCACTTGTTTGTTAGAAGAACCATTTCCGATCATGAATTTGCATGGTCTTTTTGTTGGTTATTAGGTTAATGATTCATCACATCAAAGCAGGAGGGGAATGAGCTGGCCTTCACATGGAACTATTAATTGCAAAAGTTTATAATTGATGTGGGGACTAAGGAGTAAGGGCAATTGGACAATTTTACACATCCCCCACCCCCTCTCTTTCATTGACTTTATTCATTTATACTTTGATTAGCATGCAAGAAGAACAAGTCCAAACCATAGCCTTCACGAACAATATAAGAATCCAAAAATATGAAAAGCGAATTGCCATTCTAAACCTTTCATGTGCCTTAGAACGTTCCACGGATCTTAGAGCTGCAAAATACAATATATTTATATTAGATATGAGTTTCATATTACTGATATAAGTATATCAAATTCTCAAAAACAGAAGAAGAGAGGGAGAGATCCGACTTTATAGCCATTACTTCAAGTTTCCTCTTACACAATCTCGTTGTCAGATTTTTGCTTTTTTCTCCTTTTGCTCTGATTTAGTATTAATTCTCTTGTTTTTACTTGTCAGTGTCAACATAATTGGTCTTCTGATTGTAACATAAACTAATGGGAAGTATGACAAGTAGAAAATTTTGGCTAATCTAAATTATTAACGATGCTTATAACATTTTTGATAAAAGGTTGTTATGATTGACTCTGTCGAAATGTTAACTCTTAAAATTAAATTAGTTAGTGTCACGTTTTCACTTCTTTCCTTTAATTTTATTTTCATTTCTACTTCTTTTTTTCTTTTTCTTTTTCTTTTTGCAGGGGAAGCCCTAGGTAGGAGGAAGAGAAGAGCCTAGTGAAAATTCTGTTCAATTTGGAGTTCTATGCGTTACCATCAACATCCAGATGAGGACTTGTTGAGTACTGTTATTAGATAAAAAAAACAATAGTCCAACAATTGCATATAACTTCTAGCAGTTGCTTTACTTAATTAACTTCAAACTGAAAATTTTGCACCGGACTTGAGGTGATAATAAGTTGGAAATTGAAATATTTATAGAGATAAAAACTTGAAGTACATTTTGAGGATATTATTCTATTCATGTCAAAAATTGAAAATAGTTTGCCTAGAGTTATCAGCAACACTAAGCAATGGTCATAAAATGAGAATATTTTGGTGCACAAATGTAGTATATGTTAGATTTTAAAGTGTGGTGTGCGTAGAAAATAGAGAGAAAAGAAATGGAGTGAAATAAATTTTTTGAAAAGATTCTTTTTATGACGGAATTTTATTCCTCCTTGAAAAAAGAGAGAAAAAATATTGTGCTTAATTATATAGAGAAGCATTTTTAGCTCTTGAACAGTTTAGAAAAACACAAGTCACTTGTCATCGTCGCTCGCTTGACTTTGGATTTGGATTTGGATTGGATAGCAAAAATTTATTTTTCCTTTTCTGTTTATTTTAACGAGGTAAGTTTTTGAATCAAAATTCACGACCATAACGGCATTTCCCAGACGCCCATTAACATAAATTTGAACATTTCTGCCAAATAGACATTTTGTTCACGAAAAGATATCTTCGCACCTGTTGATACTCCAACTTGTTGGTTTACATTCAGAAGCTTTGCTTCATTTTTTACCACTAAAAATGTACAAATTCTCTTATCTTTTCTGTATTTCTGCATTGTTTTCAAAAACAAAAGTAAGTATCAAGTGCGATCTGATCTGTCATTTGAGTTCTCCGAATTTCTATAATTTAAAGTGTCGTTATTATAGAATAATTTTTTATTCTATCCTGGGAGTAATTAATCTGAATATCTTAGCCAACTGTGAAGAGATTAACTTCTTTAAGGACACAGTAAATTTTCTAAGCTCAAAATAAGTTCCCATTGTTGTCTTCGTTTCTAGTTTTCTATTTTGAATGCAGTTTACTAATAGTATATATAACCGACTGATAACTTCCATAGTAATGGAGTTTGCAGTTAGAGAAGAAAGACATGATGAAGAAGAAGATAGGATTACAGGTAATGCTCTGTATTGAGAAAGAATCCAAAATAAACTGACTATTCCTACATGTACAATGTATTTATAGTTATAACTAATTTACTAACTACTTTCCTAACTATGCACACAATACTAATAGCTTAACTAATTTAGGCTGAGCTGGATCCTAGCTGGTGCCTCTCAGCAACAGCTTGAACCGCGCACACACACTCACCGTTCAACACTCCCCCTCAAGCTGATGGTTAGAATAGGTTCTTCACACCAAGATTCATTAGGAGATAGTCATGTTGTGCTTTGCCCAAACCTTTTGTAAGCATGCCTTCTAGTTGCTCTTTTGTAGATACATATTCTATTTTTATCATGTCATGTATAGTCCTCTCTCTTACAAAGTGAAAATCTATGCCTATATGCTTAGTTATTTCATGAAAGATTAGATTTGCTGTAATTTGAATTGCAGTCTTACTGTCACATATTAATTGCACAGGTAGTTCCATATGAACTCCAAGTTCCTTAAACAATCCCACAAGCCAAGTAATCTCTGCAGTACAGGAAGCCATGCTTATAAACTCTACTTCAGCTGAACATCTAGAGACAGTTTCCTGCTTCTTTGACTTCTAAGTGACTAGAGCATCTCCAAACGTTACCAAATGACCTGCAACTAACCTTTGTTTGTACACAGGATCCCTAATTAGAGTCACAGTAAGCTGTCAGCTTACTTGTACTATCT